GAACTGTCAAATTGCAGGCAGCCGGCAGGCATTAGATATAGTCTTTAGTACTGCATTCCAACCACTGTGCCACCGCAGCTCATTATAAGAACTCTGGTTCTTATTCTTGAAGAACCAGAGCTACAGAAAGAAAGCAATCTTCATTGTTGTGTTCTCTGGGCTTCACACAGGTGGGGGTGGGGGTAGAAAGAGGCCACTCCCTGAGTCCCTCCTTTGCAGGTTACCGCAGGGCAATTCTTTCTCTTTTATTCAAAATGTACAGGGACTGGCTGGGTTGAAATGTTATGCCAGTCTGAGATTTCATTAATTATATGTGCCAATGTTAGGTTGGCCAAGTGAGGCTGTTGAGGTTCTATTCTAATGTTTGGAAGTTATGTGGGCCTGGCTGGAAAGGAACTGTCTCAGATTCAATCCTATCAAGATCAAGTAGCTGAAGATGCCAGGGCCTCTTAGATTTGGAGATAGCAGAAGGCTATTCCTTCAGTGAGTACATTAAAGTCGAGAGGGATCAATGAAACACAATGCTGACTGCAAAGCCCAGCATTATGAAACACGAAGACCACAATGAAGATCAGTTTGGCTCTTTCAAAAACTTTTAAGCCAAAACACAAACAGAAATTGACTCTAAAAATAATGATAAAATTCTTGATTAGACAAAATGTATGACCCATTGCCCTCATACCTGTCAGCTGAGGGATGTAAGGTGTGCTGAGCCTATCTGAATTGTAGCCACTCCCTCCCAGCACTTCGCTGATCTTGCTCTGCCGGAACAGGATCTCGGGGCCAAGGTGATCCAGATTCCGTGACAGCCTTTGAGAAGAGAAGCAAGAGAAACAACACGTGACTGTCCCAATGACTCTCCAGGTATCCATATTATGCAGCAATTGGTCTCCAGGGAAGGAAGGACACATGTGAAAAACAGAGCTGAAGGCAAATGATGGAATAATTAAGCTGGTTGAACAGCCCATTTGTTCAAAGCCAGCATAGCTGCCTGAGGAATTCTAGGAGTTGAAGTCCACAAGGCTTAAAGTTGTCAAGTTTGGAGACCTCTGATCTAAACTAAGGTTTCTCAATCTTATCGATGTGGTGCAGACCTTCTCTCAGAATTCCCCCCAGCCAGCATGTCAACTCTGGAAGCTGAAGTCCTTTCATCTTAAAACAGCTGAGGTTGAAAAGTACTGATCTAAATTACAGTCGGGATATAATCAACATATTTTAAGCTAACAACAGCTCTCATACCTGGGCTTCTCTACAAAGACACCTTCAGGGAGCAAGTAGGGAGCCTCCTTTTTCCTCATCTCTATAACCTGGAAAGAAGAAAAATGCAAGATTTTTTTTTTTACCAACTTGGTGTGGTCAGTTCCCATTGTAAAAAAATATCAGATTTTATCTGATCAGATATCGGTATTATATTTGGATGCTCTGTCTGGCAGCGCTAATAAGCTCCCCTGCTCTGGGTTGCTCAAGAGCTATGGCCATGCTAAGTATGAGCAGGTATTGTGACATAACCACCAAGTACAACTGCTTCTGATGTCATCAACATTAGTCTTTAAGGTTTGTCTAAATATTACTGGATGCCATCATTGCTCCAGTGCAAGACTAAGAGATGCACAGAATGAATTAGAGTCAGGAGAGCACTGCTATTCAGGAATCTCTTGATTAGTACTACTGGGTTAGCAAATTGAGTTCTCAAGATATCGAATCTGGGAGCCTGGTAACAATTTCCAATAGGCAGTTGTTGATAAAGCCACCTGTATACCCAGTCCTTAATCACATCTAGCTGAAAGTTGATAAAAAGTTGGTCCTTCAGAATCTTTCTTCCATATGAGATAGGCAATGATGCAATGCAATGACAGGAAACCACTTCGTGTGATGATTCTGCATCATAATATATTGAGAAGGGATACAGAAAAAAAGACAATCACGCTTTTCAGGAAATGTTCAGTGAGGCTTTGGAGTGGATGGGTTTAGTCCAGAAATGTCTCACATACATGTGAGTACTTTGAGGCTGTAGGTTAATTCATCAAACATGGCTGGGCAAGTCCTGTTTGTGGGTTCTCTAAACATCCCACTGGTTTTTACAGGGTATGGAGTGTTGTGACTTCATATTCTTATGACTCTGTGTGTTCCAAATAACTCCTAGAATTGTCAACCAATCTATTTGGACCAAGCTGAAGGAGATTTCCTGGTAGAAAACAACAACAACGGGTAAAGAAAGGAAAGATAATCAAAGGTAAGGCCAAGTGGTAGACCTCATGAATATGCTGGCAAAAGGCAGGCACAGTGGTCAGTTGGCTGATCAGGTTCAGGTAGGCAGCTCCAAGGGCATACAGGGCACAGCGGCTGTACAACGGCAGGTTATCCTCGTTCACCTGGGCCAGTTCCTGTCAATAGGACAGTAGCATTGTAGTGAAAGGACAAACAAGCCAACAACCCCCACATTCAATGACAGCCAGACACGTCTTGAGTTTCAGTCTACATTCACTCATCTTGGACATGGAATCCTTATCAGCATCAGAGCCTGAAGGTATATAATCATCCAAATTCCACCAGAGAGAAAGAAAAAAAAATACATTTTTTTTTTAAAAAACCAAGAGAGTATTAGGAATGGCTTCAGAATTAACTGGCCTAAATCCTGGAGGGTCCGAAAAGAATGGAGGAAAATCTGTTCTAGGAAAAATGCTACCTTTGAAAGGATGGATAAAAATTAGATGGAAGTATTGCATAACATCGCTTTTCATATGACATGCATATTTAAATTTAATTCTGATTCTACTTATTATTTGGATTGATCTTTCTTTCGGTATATCGTTTTTTTTAAATTAATTTATCAGAAAAAGATTTTTTGCCTTTAAGCTTGAAGAATTTGAAAGAGTATGAAAGAGTATGGTGAATTTTGGTAACATAAATGATGATAGTCTATAAAGATTGGTAAGCCCAAACAGAAATATATACTATTTTCCACAGCAAGAAAAAAAGTAGAGATGGTCAAACCGATTGCTTTATTTAAAGAACAGAAGATATCTAATTTTGTTTTCATTTGGAAACCACTTCTGGATTTTGTGCTTGTGATGGGATTGATCTCTCTTTCAAAGCAAAGGGGCTGGGTTTCCCAGGTACCCACAGGGGTAGGAGCGGCGCTATAAAATCTATTTCCTTTTTATTACAGGTAGTCCTCATTTAGTGACTGCTCATAGTTATTTTGGTGAAGAAAAAGTAACCTTTTGACCAGTCAGTCCTTGCATTTATGACCCTTGCAAGTCTGTAAAGCAAAGGAAAGTTGAAGTAAGGTCATAAGCCCAGTCATTGTTTCAAATAGTGACTGCTTTGCTTAATGATACTGCCGGTCACAATTGTGGTCACAAAACAAGGAGTTCCTGTAATATATCATTTGTTTTTGTTTTTTTTTACTTTCCAGTAAGGCTAAAGGACTCTGGATCCCTAGCTCACACATGAGGATTAATTAGGGGGAGGACACAAGGAGTAGTCATCTTCTAGTAGACAAGTTATGACAACACTAATGAGCTAGGGTGTGTAGACCCAGAAGAGAAGGGTGGCTGAGGCACCTACAAGTCTAGCTCTGTGGGTACAACAGGGGTGAAATTCAACCACCTCAGGAGAGGTGGTAGGGAAGATTTGAATCGGTAAAAAATCCCCTCTGGTTGCTCCTGGTTGCTATTACTATTATATTAAGCCACAGAGCTGATAGGGAAAATTTTTGAATTATTGAGCCTGAACATGCATTAGATTAATGCCTTCCTCAACTTTATTTTAACAGATCAAAATTGCCCCAACTACTCTGATTTATGAATCAAGATTTTCTTTTTTTTGAAATTCATATGCTTTATATTTATGGTTCAAATTAAATTACATTGTAAACATTCAAGAGCATTTTTCAGTAATCGGCAGGAGTTGTATAACAGATCCAACTCCTTAGATAAAGTACAGGCAAGAAACTCTTGCAAATTGCTTCTTCAAGGAATCTAATGAATCCAAGAAGGATTAAAAAATAAAACATACATACTTGACCTCTTCCCACATTGGATGCATTGGATGTTTCTTTTTAAAATTTCCCTACTTTTTTTAAAAAAGAAGCCGTCCAGAGTCATATGGATTCAGGCAGCCTCTAAATTTTATTAAATTGCATTAAATAAATAAATCTCTTACAACCAGGTGGAGTCTAAGTACAATGTGAAGAAGAGTAAATATGGGTGTGTGGCATATGGGAGAGTTACATATTTATTGATTTAAAAGACCTGTATAGCCGCCCATCTTCTAACCAATTCTGGGTGGCTCTCCATCAAAAGTTAAAGCAACATGTAAAACCATATTAAAGCTATAAAACTAAACACACTGAAATATTAAAAACAACAAAAACCTGGTGCCAAGTCAAACTTCTAATGTGCAGTCATTCAATCTTATCCCAGTGCTTAGGAGAAAAGCCAAGTCTTCAAAACCTAATGGAAGGCTAGGAGGATAGAAACCTGACGAACCTCAGGGGGTAAAGTATTCCATAGGTTAGGGGCTGTCACGGAAAAGGCACATTTCTTAATTCCCATCAGATGGTAATATTTCGGGGAAGGACCTAGGAATGTGCCACCCTACCGAGCACCTTGAACTGCCTGTGGAAAGAAAGTGGAAGCCAGTGTAGCTTGCACAAAAAGGGTTACTTAGGCAAAACTAGGGGTAGCTATTATTGTGTGTGTTGCTTCATGCTGGACCAACTGAAGTTGCTGGATGGTCTTCAAGGGTAGCTCCGTATAGAGTGTATTGCAGTAATCCAAATGGGAATTGACCAAGGCACGAATGACCGTGAGCAAAGCCTTCTGGTCCAGGAAAGGATGCAATTGATGCACTAGACATATCTGTGCAAAAGCCTCCGTAGCCACGGCTGCTGCCTGCTCTATTTCTTAATTCACTTGTCACTCTGCCATACCAGTTGACTTCCATGCCAAAATTCCCATGTGCAAAAGGAGGAAATGGGGATGGTGATAAGGATCTGCAGTGTATTTTGGAACATACTGTATGTCGGAGAGGACTGTGTACCACTTTGGATTCAAAGGCAAAAGGTTGTTGGGAAATCTCAAGAAAAGGCATATTTATTTAAGGAATTGCAGAGAGGTAATATATTTGTGTCCCTATGACCTCTGAAATACATTTCACCTTTAGATCCAATAGGCTAAAAAGTATGGTAGTTAACAAATTGTAAAACACAGGTTCACCACCTTTTTTGCCTTCCAGATGTGTAAGGCTGAAACCAGGACATGAATTGCAGTTTCAATGCATTTGGCGGGAGAAGCTTTATTTTGAAGGGATCAGTCTATTTAGAATTCATTCATGCCAATTTCTCCAGGAACATACCTTAAAGATGTTCAGTCAAAACATGTATCAGAGTTATCAGGACTTATTTTCTTTGCTCGGATTTGTTGCAGCACATCAACAAAAGTCCATTACAACACATGCTGCATTTTTGCAATCAATACAATTGATTAAGGCAAATTAAGGGAAAGTCTGGGCAGGAACAAATTGTAAAAGAAATATAAATTGTTTTGCTGATCTCAGTGTCACTGTTAGCATTTGAAGATGAATAGTTTTTCATTGTTTAAAAATTCTGGAACAGCTTTTTAACGCTATTAGCACTAGCACTAGTATTTACACTTATATACTGCTCCAAAGTGTTTTAGAGCACTCCCTTGAGTGGTTTACAATGTTAGCATATTGCCCCCAATGATCTGGGTCCTCGTTTAATGACCTCGGAAGATGGAAGGCTGAGTCAACCTTGAGCCGGTTAGGATCGAACTCCTGACAGTGGGCAGAGTTAGGCTGCAATACTGCATTCTAACCACTGCACCACCACTCACTATTGCTAGTGAAAGGACTGGCTTCTAACCTATTGCTAATAAATTTCATAGGTATCTCCAAAACAGAGTCACCTTTCAAATCTAAGGTTAGCAGTGGCCCTTATAAACTGGTTTGTGATTTTCCACCTGAGATATAATCTTGTCTTCCTTGGAGGTTCCTTTCTATCCTCCCTGCTAGTGAGTTGAAAGATTCTTCAGCCCACACATACCTGAATGGCCAAAACCAACCGGATGAGGTCCACTACCACCTCTTCATTGGCCAGTTCAATGCTGATGAGTGCCAGTAGACTGTAGACAGCCTCATAGTGAGTACGACCATTATTGTCTTCCTTGCAAGTGAAATACATGTGTCGATACAGCTGCTGGGAGTGCTGTGAACAAATACAATATCGCTTTTTATGAGGAGGTTGCCATTTCATTGAAGTCAATGCTTTTATATTACTTTAGCATGATCAACAGGATACGTTTTTGCATATTTATCATATACTGCTAGTGACTACAACCAATCAACCCCTATTTCTTTTTTTTAGAATAGAATAGAATAGAATTATTTTATTGGCCAAGTGTGATTGGACACACAAGGAATTTGTCTTGGGGTAAATGCTCTCAGTGTACACAAAAGAAAAGATACATTCGTCAAGAATCGAGAATCGTTAGGTACAACACTTAACAAAGTGTTTGGCAAGTCCTCAATACCTTTTTCATGAAGACAGTATCTTGACGTGAACATTTGTCCACTTTCAGCTTCAGGATGGAGATATCACTGATAGTGCTGTGCAGAAACAAAAAAGATAAAATTAAACAGGTTTGTGTACATGGAAGCAGGCCATAACAAAGGAAGATTGTCCATCTTCCTCCTTTTTAGCAACTCATAGGATATTTCAAGGAGTGGTGGAATTACATTTTTATGTATAATTTTTTTTATCAAAGAATAGGAACAATATAAATTTTGAAAGATAAAAGAAAGAACCGTAGTTATTAAAAGTAAATAAAGTACTAAAAGTAAGAAAAGTAGTTACTGAAAAAAAGAATAAAGAAAGAAATAGAGAAAGGAAAGGAATAGAATGAAAAACTTATAAAGAAGTAGCTTCCAGTCTCCTTAATGTAAAAATTCATTTATATTTTACCTTCTCTAATACTACTTCATATTTTTTTTTTCTTTACATAATCTACCCTTTCTAATCATGAATGGTAAAATTACAGCTTTTATCAATTTATCAAAACCGCCAGCAATCAATTTTTATCAATTTATCAAAACTGTTATCAATCAAAGAAAATTTCCAGGAAATTATATAATAAACCTTGTGAAGGAAGGGTACATATATTTCAAAATAAGTCATAGCCTAAATCCCTCAGAAATTTTAATTCAGAACAACAACTGCAAAACAGTTCTGATCAATAGGTAACTGGGACAAATATGTCTGGTGCTCTCCACCATCATCATCATGTAAGACAACCTGGAAGAATGACAGCATGTAGTCACAATGTTGTTATGTTTATTAATGCGATTACCAATTGACAGCATTGTTCACTTGGCCAATCATGATGAAAAAGCATTCAAGGGAAATTCTATCACTGAGCAATATTAGAGGAAAAGAAAAAACCTTTGAGTATAAATATTCTTTCCATATATTTCTACTCTTTCTGAAACAGCTGCATTTAATCTGTGCATTCAGAATTGCTGAATGAAACTTTGGTTCAAATAAATGCCATGATCATTAGACTTCCTAGAAGACCATTACAACAGGAAAACATGCAGTTTCTACTTAGGAAGACAGAAGAAGAGCAATATGTATTCACATGGTTTGTAGCAAAAATATCTATAATACTTTCCCATCTCATATAGCACCTCCTCTCTATCACAAGAAAACAATGGACTGCAAACCTGATTGTCTGGAATTTGTGCTTATTCCCATGGCGGTCAATGAAGCTGATGAGAATCTGCAGAACAAAAAGGCGAATCTCTGCATCCTCCATTAATGTAGCTGATAAGAGCCTGTCCAGGAAGGAGCTGGGAAGGGCTGTGAGCATGTTACTGCACTGGAAACCAGTGGAAACCTGCAGGTTCCATAGAGAGTCTCTCCATTAATCAACACTCAGCAGTTTGTTTGCAATGCACTCAATAATAATGACAGCTAGAGCTGCCAAGATATTGCTAAAACAACATTCTCCCATTCTTCCTAATTTCCTTTTCAAAGTCTTAATTTTCTAGATTTAATTTGTGCTTCAGAGATATAGTGGTTGATTTCACATGTTAAATCTAGGTTAAAATGGCATGGGTTGATTTGTAGTTCAGCATGTGTGATAGAAGTGGTAGGCACAGCAAGTCGTAGAAATACAGCAACTGCCTTCTGTTAACCAGAGTTTAGTTTTATTGTGTTATTGGACAAGCCATGACTCTTTGGGTCATTGTTTCAGTGATATTTCCTTACTAGATTCCTCGATGCCTTCAACAATGGCAGAGCTTCTAATGTACTGGAAACATTCTTTAAAATTCAGGGAGATAATTCAGAGATGTATTGAAAGTACCTCATGCTGAACTGGGTAGCAGTCAAACATCAAGAATTGACCACAGTAATTATTTTATGACATTTTGTACTATGCTATAAAATGCTTTATGATGATTCTTATGCCATAAGTATTGTATAAAATCCCTGAAATTTCAATTGCATGGGAGTCAGAGGTCCTGGATTTTGGACTTATTCAGTAAGTTAGCTCATTTGAGGTTCCTTGGTTCAAAAGGTTTTGTCCCATGATGCACCATTTTGCCCAGTTAAAGGTTACAGACACATGAATTTTAGTAGGCCAAAAGGTACATTATTTCCTACACAAATGCGGTATCTATTTTTCTCTGCAAACCTCACATGAAAATGAACCATCTCTTTCACATACCTGTAGGAGAGATTTTAGCAACATGATCTGCGTCAATCGATTCCTGTTCTCCCTAAAAAAAAAAAAGATTAAAAAAAAAGATAAACACTCAAGATTGAAGCTGCATGGAAAAAAGACAGCCTACAAAAGTAAAGGCCAACCAAAATTAGGACAAGATGAATGAGAAAATCATCAGCTGGGAATGAAATTGTGTATGAAACATAACCAAAAACACATAACCTTTTATAAGGATGTATCATTAGGCAGCAAAATAACATTCCTCCAGCCACAGGGTGGGGAAAATCTGAACCTGCTGTGGTTATGTAGGTGAAGCAAGCAGACGGGAGAAAAGGGTCACCAAAGCAGATGTGCTAATGGGAGTGGAGTATGGGGAGGAATGCTGTCATACCAACTGGTCCTTCCCACCACTTTCAATGTTTTGAAAGAATAAGGAGTTTGTACCCTTGATTTCCAGCAGTTCTAGACTAGAGTTTCCTCTAACTCCATGGGTTATAGAAAAGGGGAGGTGGGAACTACAGATTGCCTATCACACAGCAAAACATTCTAATAGTTATTGCTACAACTTCTCTCATGTCATATACCTGTGCAAAAAGATTACTGCTTTTTCTGGCCCATTGTCTACGACCCATTGCCAATTCCTCTTCAACTAATTGCTTTTTACATTATTGAGAAATAGAATCATCCTTTTCTCTGGCAACATAAACACTATGGATAAATTCTGAAAAAGTTAATATTGGTCAGAATCACTTCCCTTACCCTTCCCTCTGCAACCCAACCCCAAGAAAGAAAAACATCTTGACCTAAAGAGCCAGAATTTTCTAATTGGATGGATAAACTCTTCACAACATTGATTTCTAATGTGCCAGTAGATATTACTGTGCCAGTAGATATGGGACAAACATTCTACTATGAATTGGCATATCTAAACCAGCTTTTTCATCAAGCTATTCACACAAGAATCTCTTTCAACATCTCCATGTAAAAATCTATTTAGAAATGAGTTGATGCTTACTGTATTTTTTAATGTTTCCTACTCCCCACCCCCAAAGAACTCACAATTCTCTGACAAGACACATTACACAGAAAAATGGCCTATGATTAGCCAATAACAGAAATTACTCTTCTGGCCAAAAATTAAATATTTATTTAGGGTTGGAAGATGCAAAACTTAATTAACTTTGGTTTGATCCCAGCAATCCAAGCCTAGATAGTAGAATAGACCTGGTTAATAATGATATGGGAAACTATCAAAAAATGCCAGGATTATAGAGTAGACAGGAAAATTGAAAACAATTTTAGAAGAGGGCAAAGATGACCTCTTTCCATATTGCTGCCAAGACAACTATTTGGACATACTGATACATTAGTCAGGAGACAAGTTCAAATTGAAGGAGTCTTTACTTTTATTAGTCTTGTGGGAAATAATCAACAAATGTCCAATAATAATAATCAACTCTCCTGTAATCAATTATCTTCTGCATGCCAGTGCCCACAAGTAGATCAATAATAGCAAGAGCAGCAATAGTTAACTCATCATGCTAACTGTAAAGCCACTCACCTCCCCATAAACCTCCAATACCATCTATCTATACCACTTGCTAGAATGATCTTCCTAAATTCATTTACCCTCTTTACACTGCTTATGACAGCTTTCCAGGTTGTTAAGAAGAATTGATTCCTAGTTTTTGACTTAAATGATGTTGACAATCTCTGAATCTGGCCACTGAATTTTCTAGGCAAAATTCCTGCTCTGTTGACCGAATATTAAGTATCTTCTTCAGAAAATGTTAATAGACATTAACAATCCTGTCTGGGGTGACACAAGAGTAAAGAAAATTGTGTTTTGGCTTAAGATCCAATTAACGGATAGTTCTATGCTTGGCTTATATCCCTTTCTGACTACAATAGAAATTATATAACTTATCATTGTTTCATATTTAGAGAAAGCTAACAAGGATTCATATCAATGTTTCTCAACCTTGGTCACTTGAAGATGTGAGAGCTTCAACTCAGCAAGGATGGCTGGGGAATTCTGGGAGTTGAAGTCCAAAAATCTTCATGTGGCCAAGATTGAGAAATGCTGATCTATATTGACTATTGATGAGGTACTGACATCAAAGAGCATCCAGTTATATGATCTAGAAGAGTTAGAGCTAGAAATAAATTCCCTTCCTCAGAAGCCTCTATTTTTTGATAATCTGATGTAGCTTAGCAGAAGTATAGATTCCACAACTCAGAAACAAAATTACTTTTAATAAAAAAATTCCAGATCTTTCAGTGTTGTGGAAAAAAAAATACTTTTAAACAGTTCCTTCAAAACTGTGTACTTCCAACTTCTATTTTCTCTGTTGCTGCCTTTTTAAAACAGGTGTCTTTAAGTTAAACATGTTGGGTACAGATTATGGGAGTTTAGAAAACATCTTGTATATAAAAAATTTTCTTGAAATATACATATTTCCTGGCACTTTTCTGTTCAAATAAAGAATTACATAAATAGAGAAACATGAAACATGACTTAGAAATTAATGAGTGACTACTTGGATTACATGTGATGAACAAGGAATTCATTGACAACAATGAAGATGGACAAGGAATTCTGAGATTCTTTGAACAAAATTGTATGCCCTTTAAGACTAAAATATCGTCCCATTCAATTTTTAGCATTGTGACACTTAAGATGGCAAATTATTATTTTAAAAAATCTTATTAAAATGATCTTGAAAGGAAGAGGAAAAAAAGATAGGAGGATGAAAGTAAAACAACTTGCCCCAAATTGACATCCCCTACAGCAGGGCTGTCAAACTCCTGGCCTGTGGGCCGGATGAATCACGCACTGGCCACGGCCACGCCTGGTTTAGCGAAGGGAAAAAAAGTCCCAATACGTCATGTGACGCCACCATGACAATGCAAGTTTGACACCCCTGCCCTACAGTGTTTAATAATACAGCTATAATGATTAAATAGCTCAGTCAATCGCAGTGTGATAATAATGGAATCATAATCCAATATACGTAGAGGGTTCCAAGCTGGGGAAGTCTAGACTGAGGGAAAGGAAATCAAAAGAGAGGAGGAAAAACGAAAAAGGAGGGGGAAAAAAAAGGAGTGAAAAAGAGTGTTGTCCTCACCCAGCTTTGCCCATGTCTACAGGGTGATGCAGAGAAGGAAGCGGAACTTTGCTCATGATAAACAGCATGACCTCCGACCTCTGATAGGTGGGCAGAGTACTGGCAAAAGAACCTGGGAAAAGACAGAGCAGGAAAAGCATGCAAGATAGTCTAGTAGGGGTGAGGAAAAGGCACAGAGCTGGTGTGGGGACCCAATACAGAAAGGACCAAAAAAATAAATAAAAAATCACCGGCAAGAAAGTATAGATTTTCACCAAGATTTTCTTACTGCCAGGGAAAACCCCTCCTTATCCTATCGGAAGGAGAAGCCCACAAACCAGATGCCCAAGGAAAAGAGATCAGGTCCTTCTAGGAGTTGCTGCGGAGATACTACTCTCAATTCTTGCTTGGCCGCTATATGAATGTAATGCTGGGTGGACAGTGGAGAGGCACACAATGCTGGTTCTTTGGACTGACCTGGATTTCATTTTTTAAATGGCCCTTTTCTTGAACTATGTTTTGTTTAGCAATAAAGACGCAGCAGAAAAATTAAGGCAATCGACTTTTCGACGATAAAGTGCGCTTTTACTAAAACACTTTAATTTATTAATTAAAAACATCTCTCAATGGTTTAATTGTACAGGTAGTCCTCGACTTAACAACAGTTTATTTCATGGCCGTTCGAAGTCCCAACAGCACTGAAAAAAGCGACTTATGAACATTGTTTCACACTTATGACCATTGCAGCACCCTCATGGTCATGTGATTTACATTCGGATGTTTGACAACTGACTCACACGTATGAAGGTTGTAGTCAGGGGCGGGATTCAAATGTTTTAACAACCGGTTCTGTGGGCGTGGTTAGGTGGTCGTAGCTAGGTGGGCATGGCCACGGCTTCTTCTTTTTTTGCAGCAACCCCCCCCCCCATTTTTTGGGCCTTCTGGGCCTCAGGGAAGCCTCATGGGGGGGGGCATTTTTGCTCCCAGAAGGCTTCCCTGGGGTCAGGAAGGAAAAAAACGGAGCTGGGAGAGGCACGCAGTACCACCCCACCCCCATGCTTCATTTTGGGGCCTTCTGGGCCTCAGGGAAGCCTCCTGGGGGTGAATTTTTGCTCCCAGAAGGCTTCCCTGGGGCCCAGGAAGGCAGCCCCTCCTACATTTTTTGCCTTCCTGGGCGAAGCAGTAAGACAGAGGGGAATCCCGGTACAGCTGATAGTAGGAACAGCTGATTGTCAGAAGGGGGAAAGAAAAAAAAGAAATACCTTAAGGAGTGACTGGGCAGGGAAGAACGCAGTCAGCGATGTCGAGCATGCACGCGATGTTGCACATGTGTGATAAGGACTGACTGGGCGGGGAGAGAAGGGCAGAGAGGGGCAGGGCCAGCCAGGGGCACGATTTGCTGGTTCTCCGAACTGCGTAGAATCATAACAACCAGTTCTATAGAACCGGTCCGAACCAGTAGAATCCCACCTCTGGTTGTAGCGTCCCAAGGTCACGCGATCCCCTCCTGCAACCTTCTGACAAGCAAAGTTAATGGGGAAACCAGATTCCCTTAACAACCATGCTACTAATTTAACAACTGCAATGATTCACTCAACAAATGTGGCAAGGAAAGCCGTAAAATGGGGCAAAACTCACTTAACAAATTTCTCACTTAGCAACATAAATTTTGGGCTTAATTGTGGTCGTACGCTGAGGACTACCTGTATGAGTATGTATGTATATAATGGTACATATGTATACAAATGTGTGTATTTTTAAGGAAGAAGATAGAGTGAAGGAAACTGAGTGTGAAAAATAAGAGACTGGGACCAATTCTGAAATGGTTCCAGATTTTTCTGCACTCTCTTTTTTAACGAGTCGAGCCTGATGGGCTAGATCAGGGCTGTCAAACTCCCGGCCTGTGGACCAGATGCGTCACCTACCGGCCACACACAAGCCCAGTTTAGCAAAGGCGGGGAAAGTCCTGATATGTCACGTGACGCCGACATGACAACATGAGTTTGATACCCCTGGGCTAGATGTAAAACTGTGAAGAACTGGTTGAGGTAAGTTAGATCACTCTTGGGCAGGATGAATAGGATGCATGGTTAACCTGAAGAATACTAAAGGGCTGAATATTGAGACAGCTTCAAAACCTCTCTATCCCCCAAAGAACTGCCTGCTTATAACCCCGCAACGTTCAGGAAACTTCTGGAACAGTTTCTTCTTCTCCTTCTCTCTCTCTCTGGCAGGTGTTCAGAGATTCCCAAGTCTCTTGCGACCTCTGCTGGCCATGCAGTGCATAAAAGTGAAGTGTAAAAAAAAATATTACTACCTGCTTTCTTTCTAGATTTTAATGTGAGGACGCCTATCACATTTGTTACTTAGGACTTAGTGGGATCTACAGAGCAGCCTTAGAATAGTTTTTAATATGCTCAGTGTTAGAACCAACAGAAAAAGAGCACTATTATAAACAAGCGCGGGGCCCTTTCCCCTCTGTACTAAGAGAGCTGTTCCAATATTGACTCAGCCTTCTTCCATCCTTCCACGGTCGGTAAAATGAGAACCCAGATCGTTGGGGGCAATATACTGGCTTCGTACACTGCTTAGAGAAGGCTGTAAAGCACTATGAAACAATATATAAGTCTTAGTGCCATTGTTATTTCCATACCACAAAGATCAGGGAATGCAGGCATCATGGTTTCGTAAGTACCAGTCTTCTAAATCTTGTCTAGTACCCAACGTTAAAAGTAGATATGGACGGGTACGTATGGTCCACCAAATATTGCTGTTGTTGTTTCATCACTAACATTTGCTGGGGTTGACAGTAGATACAGTTCTGCAACATTTGGAAGGCCACAAATTTACCCTCCCTTAGTTTTGCCACGACGCAAGAATGAAGGGGGAGGGTTGTAAGCAGCTTCATCAAGTAATCCTTCCACTTAAAAAGTATGATTGACAATGGAAGGTGGGACTGTCGTATCAAAGACAATACATTATTGGCAGAATTGACCTCGCTTGTATGGATTAAAAACTAAGTTTAGCACAGCATTGAAATTAGTTCAGAGCTCTCACTACCAACTCCAAAGAAATGTTTTCCTTTGTGCTATGGGAGTCACGCCATTTCTGTATTAAAACCACATCAAATTGCTGCTTTAGTATGCGGCATGCAAAGCATGGCCCAGAGAACCATATATGTTCCATACGAAGACCCTATTAAAAATGAAAAGAGAAAGGTAGGTCCTTACCTTCCCCACCAATCTCAAGGCCAGTGGATTGGGCCCAAAAGTTCTGGACTATCTAAGGGTGAAAAAAATCTAAAAAAAAATACAGAACTTGCCATTGCTTTTTTCCCCTTTTAAACTAAAACTCAACTAAGTATTATTGGTGACATCATTTGTGCCCTAGGTTCCCCTTGGAGTTTTATCTTGGAAGGCAGTAAGAATATTCACACTGAATGTTCCTTGCTTCCAGATCAAACAAACTGCTCTAGAACTGTTTAAATGTCTACTCCTTGTAAAGGCAGCAGAGTTTCATGTGCCATTTCATGCAAATTTCAAGGAATGGTCCTTGTCTGGCAGAAAGTTCTAGCACAAAACCTGGACTAAGCATGTCATCTTAGATATAGTTCATCCTAGACTCATTTAGCCCAGAAAAGATTGTTTAGATTTACAACAATTACAACAATTTTGAGAAGCCCAACGTCTTCCCCAAGTTGGGCTTCTCAAAATCCTTCTAACTGGAGATGCTGGCTGGGGAATTCTGGGAGATGAAGTCCACATATCTTAAAATGACTAAGGTTGAGAAATAGAGTTAGCCCTAAAAAAATTCCAAGAGATTATACTGAGTTGTGAGCCATGCAAAAACACAGCGTTTATCCAAATAACAGCCCTATACCCTTTCTTAGAAAGATACTGATTCCACTGCAGGACTAGAATAGTCCCTTTGGGGCTTTAAATGGCTCGTCATGGTTTTTCATTATTTTAATATGGAATTTACTTGGTTTCTGAAGGCACAGGCTGATTGTTTCAAACTGTTTTTTATTGCTAATTATTACTGTGTCGTGAGCAATCAAGGAGGAGGAAAAGGGCTGACTTAATTTTTTAAAGTAGCTAAACAGAGGCAAATCTAATAAAGCAGTTCACATAATACAAAGGATTGCAGAATTTCTCAATCACGACCTAAAGGCCATCCTGTCTGGGGCTAATGAGAGTTAAGGAAAACAATTCTAATTCAACTAAATGCCAAGATAAAGAATTAAAGAGGAGTCTAATGAAGGTTCAAGTTTTGCTGTAATGAGAAAAAATCAAAAGTAGTGAAGGAGTTTGATTAAAAACCTAGATAGATTTGTTTTTTCTGAGAATGCTTATAGAAAAATTTGTGCATTTATGCCTCCCTTCCAACACTAAACACACATAACTGACAGATCTGTACCTATTAATAAAAGATGGAACTTTCACATCTGAGCTGTGCTTTGCCAAAATTATACAGTGGAAGGGATCTGTTGAGATTGGTTGAGTTTGGGAGACAATTAATTATATGTAGTTACTAGTTTCCTGTACATAAACATATAGAAGAATCTGAAATACCAGATTAAAGTACAGGTTTGATGTACTGGCAGTGGTGGTGATCAATCATAACTTTCATCCTTTACAAATAAACAAACAAACAATCCAACAAACAAGCTTCTAGGCTCATGATGGTTGAGAAGCTTCAGAAGACTCTCATCCAGGATCTTATGTGTTTTGGTGAATGCAAGTTCACCATACTGTATGTTTTTGATTCCCTTCTCTCTGAATCAAAGCAAGACATGCAGCATTCAAGAAAAAAATTACTGAGATGCTGTTTCTATTTTCCTATCATTGCCGCTAAATTACTAAAAAAAAATAAAAGAGTTGGCAGGGTTCATTTAAATTTACAAGACTAATGGAAACCTTTGATGGGGAAAGAAGCATTTGCAGTGCTAGATAAAACAAATCGTCCTGTCTTTCCAGTTTCTGAGCAAAAATGGCCCAAATGCTTGGGGCTACTTAGCATACCTGTGGTCTTGATTATGGCCTCTTGGAACATTCTTTCTTCATGCTCCTTAATGATCTTGGAGCCACCAGCAATGGCACAATCATAGCTACCCGTCAAGGCATAATCGATACTCAGCCGCAGCTGCCTTAGAAGGGTATTGAACACCTCCAGCACAGTTGGTCCTAGAAGCAACGCACAACGTATCTTTGGAAGAAAGAACATTTCCGAGTTTCTGTGCATACTGACTCCAATGCAACAGAACAAAATGTTACAGTAGGCGTATTGGATCCCAACAAAAAGAGGATGTTTCTTGCCTAAAGATTTGAATACATCTATATTCCAATTGAACTATCCAGGGTATTTTGATACAAAAATGTGAATTCCTGGACAGAGTTGATGTTCTCCTTCTAGTTCCCCAATCTTGGCACTTTCACTTATGTTGCCCTATAAATCCCATCACTGTTTTAAAAGGTCCCTATTGTTAAGTAATATGTACTTATTTTCATCTTAAAAATCTAGTTCCTCCACCAGACTGCTTTTACAAGTCTGGTTTTTGGCTACTCTGAAATATCTCCCAAAGAACAATTCTTGATCAATCTTTTTAACTGATCCATCTAGGCTTCTGTTTCCAAATAGGTTGATCCGTACATTAACTATCCTTTTGGGAAATTCAGTTTTTGGAATTTAAGAACTTTAGATTCTTGAAGAGATAAACCTTTTGAAGGTCATTCAGGTGCTTACCAACAGATCCAGAGGCTGCAATGATGGCTGCTTCTGAGAGGACCTCAACTATCCCTGCCCGCACAGTGGCAGCACTTTTGCTGTTGGCATCCAAATGGCTCAGGAGCTGCTGAATCACCAAATGCGAATGCTGTGGCTAGAAAAATAAAAGATACAGCAGATCCGGAAATAACACTATGAACTCTAAATACTGTAAGAGGAATTTGAGAGATTAACTTTTGGAAGCCAAAGATAAGGGTGCTGAAGTCTTCACGCTCAACATTAAGTAGCAAATATCTCCTTTCTCTCCCTCCCAGGTTAGAATACTTTGCTATTTAATGAGAACAAAAGACCTGTGATTACAATACCAATGCCAATTGCAGGATATGCACAGAAAGTTCATGTTGAATAACTTTTCCTCCTCCTTTGGCTTGGATGCAGAAAAGGTTTACGTGCCTGAATCAGTATATACATACAGCCTTTTGTCATACCACTTGAACATGGAGGGATATGTGGTCATAGTGCATGATTGGATTAGTTCATGTATCTCATAGTTCATTTTTTTGAACCTAAAAAGTATATGAGAACATTTAAGCCTCGTTAATGAAACAGATTCCATACTGAATCATGAAAGCTGGACACTTTTCGATTCACCCAGATTGCACTTGTTGTATGAGCTGCGTTGGCTCTTAGTTTCCTTCTGGGTGCAATTCAATACGGTAGTTATAATTTTTTAAAAACTACATGGCATGGGGCCAGGTTATTTGCAGAACCGTTTCTTCCTAAAGCATCTGCCCTTCCTATCAGATTGGATAGGTAACAATTTTTCAATGGACAAAACTTGCCTGAAATGTTGCCAAGTAGTGGGAACTTGGAAGTATACATTTGTAGTGGCTGCTGTTCCTTTATGGAACACCCTCACCCCATGATCTGATAGGTGCCCAACCTTTCAGCCTTCTGGAAGGTCATTAAGACCTGGCTTTCTATCCAGACACTAGGGTAGAGTGAGGATGTCTTGGGTTAGTTGTTGGGGCATCTCAAGGGGATTATAACAAGGCACTGGGTGTTGGTTGTGTTTTCAAGGATTTTTTTTAAAAATAGTTCTGGAGTTTTATAGTTGCTGTGAGCCATCCAGAGTTGTCTTTTAAAATAGGTGGTCATATCAATCTTAGAGAAAGAAAGAAAGAAAGAAAGAAAGAAAGAAAGAAAGAAAGAAAGA